TGTCTTTTCGGTGTGCCGTGGTTTTTAGCACCTATAAGCCTATAACTACTAAGCTAGGTACTTCTGGTAGGGACCTAAGAAATTACAACGCGAAAAGACCTCTTAAACTCCCACTAGACCTAGGGCACCGTTCAGTGTCTGCACCCCTATAGCTAACCCCCAATCCACGCCCATGGTTAAACGATGTATCTCTCGAGGCTCTACTTTTTAGCGTATTTCCAAAAAATATTAAAAAAATGCTCTATTGTGGCCACTTTGTCCGTCCGTTCGGTCGCTACTACATCGTTTTACTTTTTTCGCTATTTGGTTCGTTATGGTGTTGAGGCTTGCACCGAGGAAGGAATTTTTTTCTGCGTTTCTTACTAAAAAAGTTATAGTAAAAAATCAATTTTTTATTATACCTAAATCACAATCTCCGTTTAAAACACTCAAATGCGTGCGAAAAAAGGCCTTTAAAACACACGTGCTTTAAAGTTGCTAGGTAATGATACTTCAAGTATGACTTTTGAAACTGTCATCTGGGACTGAAATAAAAAATCCTCTTAGGTCGCTTTCTGTAAATGCAGAACATTTCTTTGGCTTGTACCTATCCTTTGTTTGAAGCTTTCACAAACGCGCGTAATTTAGGGCATGCTTCCAAATCTGTTTCACTTTTTAATCGTAGCATTGTTTGAACTTCTGAATGTATGCACCAAAAGATAGAAGATTTAAATACCTTTGACATTTCCTTCATATGCCAGCATTATGGATGCATTTAAGACTTTATTCGTAAGTAACTTCCTGTTCATCCATGGAAACAACTTTTCATATGCTTGATATAAGCTTTACTGGATTGGGATTTTACACCTACCAACGTTTGTTTAGATTTTACATCAAGCGATTTAATGGACGGTGTACTTTTTCTTTTTCAACGCAAATCGTTTTATTCACAAAGACGATGATTTTTATAAGCAAACGTCAAGTGACATTTCCATGGCAATCGTGAAATGACGAACACCAAGCCCACTTAATTAGACATGTATTCGAGTATAACGTCAATATGATTTCATTGTATTTCCTATTTTTAAATTATACTGCAGGTATAATAAAAAATACTATAAGATACACGTGTATAATTTATCTTTAAAGCACTTGCAACGTTAAAGGCACTCCGCTTTGCGTCGTGCCCTTAAACTCGTTGCGCGTGCTTTAAAGACTTGATTATACACTTGTATCTTAATATACTATTTTTTCAAATGGAACTAACACTATTTTATTTCGCTATTCGATAGTCTTTTGTGTTCTCTTCTATTTGTATAAGGGGCATCCTATACTTACACTCCGTAATTTTATGGGTATTCAATATCTTTTAAAAGTACCGACTTATTAATTAATTACATGTTCATACACCGGAGTAGGCCGTGAGAATAAAAATCAAAAGAATGCCAGAAAGTAAATAAGTGTCACAAATTAATTACTTACAGCAAGTGTACTATCTATTTCTCGTAAAATAATGTTATTAAAAAAACCAGTTCATCTTTTCCGAAATTCACCTTTTTAATTACTTAATCTTATTTTATTACGAAATAGGAAAGACATTTGCAACGAATAATTAATTTGTGATTACACTTTTTCATCTTATTTGATAATGCCATATAATAATTATATCGTTCCATTTGAAATTTTTAAGAAAACCCGCAAAGTTTATGTTAATGGCAAACTGTGCCCTCCACCCTCGCCTCCACCACTCATCAGGTTTACTAAAAGGAGTATTTCTGTAAAATCTGATTACAAGAAGATAGTTCCAGCGATTTCTTTTAGCCTCTTTTGTTACCAAAATCTTTTCCCCAAACCCCTGCGGCGTTTAACCCGGTACTTTTAAAATTTTCTATTATCCATCTCAATTAAAAAAAAAATAATTTTCTTGGGGCAAAGTCAGGGTTTCATTTCGGATTTAAGATTTTTGTAATAGTTTCTAAAAAAAATGTGTCAAGTTTGTTCACAAACCCAGTAAATTTTTAGTTTCATGTTAGTTTGGGCGAGAAGAGTGATTATTTGGAAAAACGTAAAAAGTGTTAAAAAAAAGTGTGAAAATGTGAGTTAATTAAGAAGCCCGTTTCAGCTACAATATAGCTAATAACATTTCAGCAAACACTCCAAATGAGTACAAATTTCACTCAATTCTTCCAAGTTATTTTCCTGGAGTGGTAAAATTAAAATAGAACACTAAAATACAAAAGAGACAAACAAAAAAGGATGAGCTAATCCTGATAGACTGAGGCAAGGTTTTCCGTCTCTTTTTTACATCTTGATCGCGGTATTGTTTCACAAGTTCCTCTTTATTTTTCACCGTCTAAGCGTGAAAAGTTGTCTTAGGGACTAGAGTACACTGCCGTAAAGGCGCAAAGAATAATTTTGATCTTTATTTTTAAATAAGTGGGGTTTCATTTACCAACCCAACACACTATACACTTCAAAAATCTGTCCGTGAACCCATCAAAGACCCCCAATGCCTTATTGAAGGCATCGAAGCATCCTCTCCACTACACCAGGCCAGGTGGCACATGCATTTCTTGATACGATACGATACTTGTGTGAATGCCTGAAGTCTTTCCAAAAGCACTCCTTACATGAATTTTAAATAAATATTTTGTTGATAGGTACCTGCACCACGTAAAATAAATTTCACCAAGAGGACAGTAACAAATGAATACACTTAAATCACTATGGGATGGTGTAGGTGGCTTAGTTTAACATTTATACCCATGAGAATTATTAAGATATTAATTATCTGCACAATGCTATTGAAACTTCCGGTAAAATTTTAGTTTTCAATTAATCCGCGTCAGAGTATAAGCATTCCATAATGAGAAATTATTATCCTACCATTACGCTCGGGGCTCGGACAAGTTAAAAGATTACGTAGTAGTCGATTCGTATCTTGCAGGCCAACATATTTTAGTTACTCTTTATTAGTATATTTAAGTTCATTAAAAGGTTCCTATATGATATAGACTGATCACGTTTAATGCGTATGATTGGTATCATTTAATTGACTTGGAGAGACAGATGCTTAAAGCTCGCGATTTCGTCCATTAATCAGTATGTGGTCCGCTCAAATTAAAAGTAGGCAAGTAATTAACACAGTATTGCGGATGATAGAATTCCTCACAAATATGGGTGGGAATAAAAGGAAATAAAGTACAGAATAGATGGCACCCATTGGTAATAACTCATTCATCTACAATTCCCATTGATCAAAACATTCAAAACACCTGGCGTAGGTGTGAGAGAGAAAAATCCGTTTTAATGATGACAAACGAAGCTCGGTAATAATTGAGAGGCAGGATTAACCCTCTAAATAGACGATTTATTAGGTCTTATCGTTGTGGCGGGGGATGATGCTTACCGATCTCTTTTGTCTAGCTTTTCAAAATAATATCTAATTGATTTGATAGTAATTTTCTTACGTTAACGAAACTTCAAATGCTCGCGGAAAGTTTGTGAGGCTTCACTTTGAAAATTTGTTCAGGGTAGAGAAAGCCAACCTATAAAAGTCCTGAGTCCTGTGAGATAATTTCACTGCCTTTTGGATGTGCACTTGTCGATCGGCACGTTTTGAGTAGTTACGCGCGTCGCTATAAAGTTCAATAAGGTGTATTTGCAATAGATTAAAGTATAAGTAAAGTTTCCGGCGATTCACCATGATCCACCATTGATCTCGAATTAGTTTTAGAACGAGATACATTTTTTCTCTCAAATGGAGGCTATAAATTGAATTTCTTAGTGGATCCCATTTGCTTAATCAATTTAATTGGTATCTAACCGTTGCCGTTTTGCCGTTTCATGGTAAATATTATTTTCTAATAAACCTGTTATTAATTTGAGGAATCAAAGGGATCGGGATAACTTTTTCCTGAAAAAGGGTAACTTCCATTATTTATAACACAGATGTAAATGAGGTGATTACGATGAAGTATAATAAAAAAACATATTTCTGTACCTCTACGAAAATGTACATTCTGAAATTTACAATCTTTTAATTTTCCCCCGTGTCTCTTGAGCGAGCGAATATTTTCAAATTTAGATTTTACCATTTTAAGTTTGTAAAAAACGAAAGCCAATGTAACGACTTATAGAACATTCCCGAGACACTGTCAAATCGGATTAGTCACCGGCGTACATGATTAATTCTTTCTATGAAATATGATGTCTGCTAGATTTTTCATGAAGGTTTATTGTCTGCTATATAAGGAAATTGAATTGTGTTTGGGTTCAGTCTTAACATCGATGTCGAAGTGATAAATAGTGAAATAGTGTTCTAAACGTTTAAATCTGTTGAAACGCGTTCGATCATATGATATTTATTGTTGCTTTTGTTTTAGTTTTTTGTAACTTCAACGGCAACCATAGTTCCAGTGCTCCCAGCTTCCAGCAGCAACAGCATGGTGATAATTTGATTAGATGTTTCCAATTCTCTTAAAAATTACGATCCATCCTAAAACAACGTAACTAAAAAAAGAACGTCTTACTTCTCCCTGTGGATTCGTCGTGATTAACAGTGATAAGGGTAATCAAAAATACTGAATTCACAAAATTAGATTTACCGAGCACAACCTACTTGGAAAAGAAAACCAATAGCTAATTAAATCAACATCTTTAATTGCCCTAAGGTAAATAAAGAAAAATTCCCTTGCCACGCGTAGAACTTTCCCACTCCCGAATTTTCGAAAGAAATATCAAAGAACTGCAACCCATTTGTGAAACCACTAAATTGTAAACCTGAAATTTTATATCTGTACGGACAGACGAATTCCAGTAAATTACGGGACGAGAAAAAACTCTTTAGCAGCCTGATTCGTAGCAAGGCACTTTTATTTACGTGTAGTAAAATATACGCAAAGGAACATGGTCAAGTAGGAGCGTTTTTCAAACCAAATCGGGTGTTGAGATAAACAAAGAAGTTTTTTTTCGCTAAACCAGTAATGGATAGTCATTAAAGTTGAGTAAACATCTTTGGATAACACATCGCTGTTGATAAATACAATGTTGGAGGGAATTTAAAGACAACTAATGGATGCATTTGCCCGCAATAAAACCTAGTTAATAAATTGGGCAATACCAGCACAGCGAAGCCTTTTCTGCCTTGCATAATCACGATCTCGATTTTACTTACGTGAAATTGAAGCCGGTCTTCTCTCATGATTCACACAAGCTTTTCTTCCGCCAAACTTTGCATTCATCACGAAAATAACGTTACCAGGGTGGTGCGAAAAAATGAACTGTATCATCGAAGCGATCTGTTTCCACCAGAAGAGAACATTACCCACGTCAATAACTGTAAGTTATTTTAAATTCTTGGATTTGTGTAAAAAAGTGGTTGATTATTTTTAGGAAGTTGTATAAGGAATTTTCAATTCAATTTTTTCGAAAGTAATTTTAATATTCCTAAAGAAATCCACCTACCAGAACTATTTGTATGAACAGATTTTATTACATTTATGAACAAGAATCGAATCCAAATAAAGAATTTTGGTTATTCTCTTTCATTGCCATATTAAAAATTTTGGCCAGTGCCGTAGAGGTTCCATTTTATTTTCTGGGTTGGTCTTTGTAAATGTAACTACCCCCTTACAGTACATACAATGCGCTCCAATTAAAACCGACACAATTTTCTTACTATTAGAGCTACGAATTCGATTAATAGCATATATGCGATTGCTTATTAAAATCCAGGTGAGAATCGTGTTACTTAGGTATAGCATTTTTTTGAAAAGAACATCCTGTATATTTTTAGATTTTAGAAATAAAAATGAAATTCTGGATAATAACTTAATTTGGTCACCAAATTGATTGTGTTACCTTGAGTAGGTAGACCTCCATTGATTGCACCCCCAACACCGTTAATACCAATACCTTTACTTTTACTTCATCGAATGGATTTATCTTTACCCCTTGATGGTTAGAAATTCGACTTATTATTCCACCTATAATAAAGATGCATTTTCTAGTGCTTTTCATTTACACCCAAGTATGGAGAGTGCAGCCGAATAAAAAATAGACATCGTACAATCGGCGGGCATCTTTCTGGTATGTATTAAAGTAGTACCTACGTTTACTATGGTACACGTACGATAGCAATTTGCATGTAAAGGTTATTAATTTACTGCACTTCAACTGAGTATTTATAGCGTACATTGTTATTGCACATGCACGTAATCGTTTTATAGCTTTTAAAAATCTGCCAACGTGACTAACGTAAACGTATTACCCCATAGTCAACCAGCCCAAGAGATGGGAATGCGTGCAGTTTCCGGTAGGCAGAGGAAGACCTAACAATGCGAAGACCTTTACTATAATAAGTAAAGTAGTAATTACAATGAACTTGACACAATCAATAGGCGAAGGCCGAAGATCAATAGAAAAAGTGACATTACGCAACACTATGACTGTAGCCTAGGCAAGAGGCCCATAAGTTTTAATCGGGATAAAGGAATGAGGTAAAAGAATCATTTCTGAAATCATCATTAGACTGCGAAGCCGAAGAGCAATGACTTACAAACATTGACGTCAATGCGACCACGACCACCTTCCTTTTCTTTAAAACGCATGCAAATACCCGTTAACCTTAATTCCTTTGATAGGTAATTAGAATACTTTAAATTCATTAATCATAAGTTAAGTGTGTCTAACAGGATGATTACTAACATTTCAGAGTTTATTTTTAACTTTATCATTTTATTTGTTTATGTAAAAATAGATCAGGTAGACTTTTGTTTAAAAGGGGATCTTTTTGACCTTCACCTAACTCAATTAAATTATTACCTATATTAAAAGGTCGATTGGAGGATATATATTTATTGACAGCGATGGCGTTTCTGGAGTTTAGTCGTACAAACTTTCATGAACACGTCACGTTGTCATCATAATAGGAAACTAAATTCTATACCATTTCGATTATAAAAGAGATTGTGCCAGCGCTTCTTCCAATCCTCGAAACACTTCTGAAACTCGATCTTTGGAATAGCCTTTAGCTCCTTCAGCGATGCGGTTTTCATCTATCGCTTGTGAAACGACGGCCCTTTAAGAGTTTTAAGGATTTTTTGGAAATGTTTCGTCACTTGTTATAACACGTTTCAGTACTTCTGCATCACCGTTGTCTTCATTTAGTGACCAAGCAACTTTCATCGCCGCTATTTTTGCAGCTTTTCTAGATCCTCTTTACACCTTTACATCTTTATTTCTCCGGGAATTTTCCTCTTACAAGGGTTGAAAGTCCCACTTGCATTATAGTTATTTATGCATCAAGGGCATTAAGGTGATATTTATGCCGAGGGCGACAGAGCCCGAGGGATAAATATTGAGTAATGCCTGAGGTGCATACAACATTTTATTTTTCATGGTTCCAAAGAATGTCATTCTTTTTCTTAAGCTCTAAGGTGTCTTTTTTAACTTGATTTGCTTATCAGGTTGCCATGGAAGATACAATGATAGTCTGATTTAATCAAAAACATGCAAGATGCTCTAGATTTTGCGTTTTTTGTAATTTTCTCATATGCTAAAAGGAATATCTAGATTTTTATTTCAGAAAAGGTGGTTTTGAGACAAGCATGTAGCGTTTCGTAGTGATTTTAAATTGTTCCCGCGTAATTTGTTTTAAAAATTT